GCACGCGCGGCGCACTTTGCCCAAGCGTCGCACACCTGGGGTCGACTTTGGTTTCCCAGTAGCTGTCCATCCAAAGAGGACCGCTGAACATGCTCAGGCTCGGGTGTTACTCATGTGCTGGGAGGGCGGGTGGGAGTGAGCTAGACGGCTTGCGGGCGGGGGTAGCTTGACCCCTCCTGGTCCCCCCTCCCCTGGACCTGGACGGGGGGGGCCGCGGGGCGTTGGAGCGTCCAAGATGGCCCAAGACGGCTCCAAGAGGGCCCCTGAGAGTCCAATATGAGCTCCAAGATGGCTCAAGATGGCGCACGACGCCTCAAGATGGCTCCCAAAATGCTCCAAGAGGCCCCAAGAACGTTCCCAGGCGGCTCCAAGAGGCGTCCGAGACCTCCAAGGAGGCCCCCAAGAAGCCTTCTTCAAGGATCTAAGGACAATCAATGATTTGTGCTTTCTCGCCTTTTCGCTTCCGATGGCCATCCGAGGCCTCAAGATGGCTCCAAGATGGTCCCAAGAGAGCCCCAGGAGAGGCCCAAGAGAGCCCCAAGACGGCCCCCAGAGCGCCCAAGAGCGCCCCAAGAGCGCTCCAAGAGGGGTCCAGAAGGCGATGTCCAGTGCTCCCGAGGGGGGAGAGTAATTGGAGCTCCCCTTTTTTGTTATCGATGTCCTCCAAGATGGCCCCAAGAGCGCCCCTGCAGCTCCCAAGAGCGCCCCAGGGCTCCAAGAGGCGGCCAGACGGCCCCAAGAGGCCTCCCAGAAACTCACAAGAGAGCCCATACGGGGCCTCAAGAGGATCCCCGCGGTACCCAACTCTCACTCATGTTCCTCCTTCTCCTCCGTCTCGTCATCCGCGTCTCCGCGTCCTCGCCCTACTCCACCTCCACCTCCTCCACCTCCTCCTCCTCCTCCTCCTCCTCCTCCTCCTCCGACGACGACGACGACGACGACGACGATTCCTCCTCCATCCTCCCCCTCTTGGGGTATATGACGCCTTCCCCCGCCCCTTGTTCTGCTGCATGCTCCCCCCACTTCCCTGAGCACCTCAACTCCCCTGGGCATTTTTTCTGGATGGGCTTGTGGGGATGCTTTCTTTTTTACAGACGCGGGCGGAAGCGCCAGCGGCGGCGAGTAACGGTCGGGCTGCGGCCGAAACTAATTGGCCGGACGAGCGCGCGGGCCGCGGCCGGCGCCGGGTGGCGGGTGCAAGGGTGCTGCAGCCCAGGGAGTCTGACGGCGGGACCAGCACCCAGGGAGCAGCAATTACGCTGCCAAAGTGGCGCGATGCAGCTTGTGGGGATGCGCGAACCCGCCCCTTGTTCTGCTGCATGCTCCCCCCACTTCCCTGATCACCTCGACTCCCCTGGGCATCGTGTCTGGATGGGCTTTTGTGGGGATGCGCGAACCCGCAACGACTCGCATCTGTCGTGAAACGCCCTCCGCCTCCGCCTCCCCGGCCTCCTCTTCCCCCCCCGTCGTCCGCCGTTCCCCTGCCCCTCGGAACCTCCGGGGGGCCCTCTCGGATCCTCCTGGGTCCTCTGGGGAGCCTCTTGGTGTGTGCGCATGTGTATGTGATTATGTAAGTGTACTCTCGAGCGCGAAAGATACCCGTACCCTTACCTAGGAGAGAGCGTGATCCACCGCCGCTTTACTGTGGAAAATTGCCAACCTTTTCCTCCGGAAACCGGTGGGTGGTGAGGGGGGGGGTGTCCCCCCCCCCCCCCCCCTCCGAAAATCCCCCCCCCCTGCTGGAACCCCTCCCCCCCCGTCACCCCCCCCCCCCCTCCCCCGGCAACAACCCCACCTCCCCTAACCCCTCCCCCCCCCCCCCCCCCCCCCCCCCTCCCAGCTCAGAAAACTGGGGGGGTCACTACCCGGTTCGAACCCCTTCCCCCCCCCCCCCCCCTACCCTCCGGATCCGGAAAACTGGAGGGGGCCACTACCGGTTCGCACCCCCCCTTCCCCTTTCCCCCCCCCCCCTACTCACCGCCAGCAAACGACTCCCGGTCCCCACCACCGTCCGCATCACATCCCCCACTGGTGTTCCCAGCACCAACTGTCCTCACCACCGCTGTCCCCACTGGTTCCACCACCGCCCCTACTGTCCCCACCAGTGGCCCCACCACTGTCGCACTGTCCCCGCTGTCCCCAGAACTGTTCCCACCACGGTTCCACTCTCCCCACTGTCTCCACGGCCCCAACCACTGCCCGACTATCCCCACTGTCCCCACTGTCCCACTGACTCCTCCGCTGTCCCACTGAGCTGTCCCACTGTTCCCACCACTGTCCCCACTGTCCCCACCACTGTCCCCACTGTACCTCTGTCCCATTGTCCCACCGCCGTCCTCGCCACCGCCTTCACCACTGTCCCCACCACCATTGTACCCTCCACTGTCCCACTGTTTCCACCTCATTCCCATTGTCCCCACACCACTGTCCCCACCACCACCGTCACCACCACTGTCCACTGTCCCCCCCTGTTTCCACCATTGTCCCCACCACTGTCCCCACCACTACCGTCCCCACCACTGTCCCACTGTCCCACTGTCCCCACCACTGTCCCGCTATCCCCTCACCACTGTCCCACCAACACCGTCCCCACCTCTGTCCGCACCCCCGCTTGGTTTTCGAGAGGGGGGGGGGGGGGGGGGGGGGGGGGGGGGGGGAGGGGTTCGAAACTCGGTAGTGACCCCCCCCCCTTTTCTGATGGGCAGGGGGGGGGGGGGGGGGGGGGGATGGAGGGGTTCGACGGTAGTGACCCCCCCCGGGTTTTGGGGGGGGGGGGGGGGGGGGGGAGGGGTTCGAACCGGTAGTGACCCCCCCCGGTTTTCCGCCAGCAGCGGTAGAACACGCTCTTTCTTACCTAAACAGGGTGGCTGGCCCCGGGTACGGGTATCTTTCGGACCAATGAGGTACGGTGTGCTTGAGTGTGTGCTTGTGTGTAAAATGTGTGTGTGAGAATAACTGCACAAATACGTGTAAGCGTAACCGTACATGCAAATGCACATGTAAATGTGGGTGTACATGTAACTGTACGTGTAAGTGCCATCAAAAGTGCAAATGCGATTGTGAGTGTGAACGTACATGTACGTGCAAATGTAACAGTTAGTGGACATGGAAATAACTATCAACGTAACTGTACATGCAACTGTACATAATTGTAAAAGTACGTGTGCGTGTACGTGTACGTGTGAGTGTAAGTGTAAAGGTAAATGTGCGTGTAAACGTAAACACACGCGTAAGCGTAAATGTGTAAGTGTAAGTGCAAATGTACGTGTAAGTGTGTTGGGATTTCAGAAAACTCGTCTAGGAGCTGTCATGGGGCGCTCTTTGGGACTTCTGGGGCCGTCTTGGAGGCCTGGGGTCTCCTACGGCCTTCCCGGCGCCTTCTTGTGGGCCTCGCCGTGTTGGGCCGAGCTGTGGGGCATCTTGCGCCGTTGTGGAACGTCCGGGGTGAGCGTCTGTGGGCTTTGTTAGCGTGTTGGTGCCTCTTTGGGCTGTCCTGGAAGTGTATTGGGGCGTCTTTGGGGCCTCTTGGGCAGTTTTTGCACTCTCTGGGAGCCCTCTGAAACAATCCTGCGGCGAAAATTGGAATCTCTTGGGGGCGTGGTGGGCCGTCTGGAAGCTGGGAGCCAGCATCAGCGTGCGGGAATGATCTTCGGGGCACTCGTGGCCTCATTTTCGGCTGCCCAAGTCTCTGGCGCCGTCTCAGGCGCGCCGTGGGCAGTGACGGCGCCCTCTTGAGGCCTCTCATTCGATCTTGGGGTGAGCTGTTGTGCTTATTGGGGTAAGTGGAGCGTCGGCAAAGCGAAATGGCGGAAGCACGAGACGCCATCAACAACCTATGAGCACTCATCGGTGTTTAGCCATTGTGGCCCTCCTCGGGGGCGCCCTGGAGAACTGTTGGAGCGTCTGGGACGCGTTTTGGGCCCTGGAAGCTTTCGTAGAGCGCCTTGGGGTCGCTATGGGCCACCTCGCGGGCGGAATGAGCGTCTGGGAATGATCTTGTATGGACTCGGTTGCCTTCGTGGGCTGTCCTGGGGGTCTCTAGGTGCGCCAGTGTGGCCTCTTGGGCAGTGTGGGCGCCCTGAGGGGGGGAGGGCCTGTGAAACAGTGGTGGGATGAGCTTCGGTGTTTCTGGGGCTATCGTGAAGCCGAATAGGCGGAAGCCCATCAAGCACATATGAAGAACACATGAAAGTTGCCTCCTGGGGCCCTTGGGAAGTGTCTGGGAACCCTCTTGGAGCGTCTGTGGGGCCTTTAGGGCTGCCTGGAAACCTTCGTGGCGCGCCTTGGGAGCGTAGTAGGCCATCGGGAAGGATCATGGGCGTATGGGGATGATATCCGGCGACTCGAGTTAGGTCGGGCATGTCCCCCTACAGGTGGACGTTGGGCGAACAATTGAAAATGTTCAAAAAATATGTAAAACATTCAGAAATATGTTTTTAAAAATCGCCCCCAGACATTTTGTCTGACTATTTTTGAATTTTCCTCCCGTGAAGGGGCACGCCCGACGTAAGACTCGGGGCGAATGTCGGGGCTGTCTGGGCGGCTCTTGGGCATCTCTGGGGCAACCCGGTCCGCCATGCGGTGTCGAGCCCCAGGCCCCCAGGCATCGTAGACGGAGATGTATCAATATCTATATATATATATGTAGATGTATAGATATACACACATACGTACATACTATGTGTCCACCACCTGGGAAACCCATGTCCAGGGAGCCTACGGGGCGGTGGACATGAATATAGTTGTGCCCCAGGGGGCCCACATATGTCCATACCTACCGCCTGCAGGGTCCTCGATGATCGCTCCTCCAGGCAGTGGTTCTGGATAAATCCCCGTCTCGAGAAGAACGGCACTGAGGCGACGGCGTTTTTCGAGCACCGCGGTTGCGCGAGTGCCGCAGTCCAGGCCCTCCTGGTACAGGCGGCTGCCAGGGAGCGTCGACAAGCACAGTCAACACGCTGACCACACGTGCGAGGCTGGGAACACGGAGGGGCACTGCGTCACGAGAGCGGCACGACGAGCACACCGTCCTCCTTGTTGGCCACCATGCCTGCAAGCCTTGGTCATGGAGCGCGACGGGAGGAGATGGGATGTGGGGGAGGGGCGAGGGGTGAGCGGACAAGCTAGGTGCGCTCGCGCCAGATCTGACGTCCTACCCCTCCCTCCCATCCCTTACCATGGCGTAGATCCCCTCTTTATTCGCACAGTCGGATGTCGCAGCGTGGCATAGCATCACATGTTATAACATGGCGTGTTGACGCCCCAAACTGGGGGAAGCCCTCTGCGGCCCAAAAATTCAACGAAACGACACAGGAAGTCTAATCACTTTTTTCGGGGGGGGGCATGTTCTAGATTTGTGGGCAGATTTAAAATGACCGAGAACCATGCCGTGACATGGCGCTATGGCGTCAGCGCTGCAGCGGGAGCACGGTTCGGAACGAGCGGAAGCGCGGAAATGAAGAGCGCTGCAGCGGGAGCACGATTCGGAACGAACGAAAGCGCGGACATGAGGCCAACGCTGCAGCAAGAACACATAGGAACACGATTCGGAATGAGCGGAAGCCCGCAAATGGGCCAGCGCTTCAGCGGGAGCATCATGTCCCCCAAAAACCTAATGAAAACCACTTCCCAAGAATCCTGTGGGTTAAAAACCTTACGTGGAGGGGGGCGGGATATCTTCTGGACGTTATCAGGGGAGAGGGGAGAGTAGTATTCATAATCCGTATGGAGTAATTGTATAGGAGCCTGGCAAGGAAACATCACAAAACAGCGAGAGAGGAAGAAGGGAGGGGGATGAACTAAATGCGCCCGCGCCGCATCTCACATACTACCCGACATGCCCGTCCCTTTCCGTCACTTTGAATCCTCATCTACCCGCCGAGGGGGCTTTTACTCAATGGAGGATTCGGCGGACGAGCCGGAAAATGCGGAAGAGAGGGAACCTGATGAAGAGGAGAAGGATGGAACAGGAAAAGAAACAGGAGCATCAAGGAAAGGCGGAGACGGGGAAACGAGGTGGACTGCAGCGACGTGGAAGAGGGGATGGAACCCCCGCAAGGCTCAGACATCCGCCTGCTCTTCTCGCTCCTTGCCAGCCTGCAGATACAAGCGGGAGGAAGCGTGCGCAGGAAGGCCCAGCGAAACGCTTCCGCGGCAACTGAGACACACCCCGCCGTACAAGGGCGAGGAAGGGGGCACGGAGAGCTGGCCCTCGCTCGGAAGTCCATTCCCTGTGCTTCTGTTCGGTTTCGTGCGTGGCTTTCTCGCCAAATGATCAAGGATGCTCCTCGATGGTCCTCGCCGAAGGAAAAATGCACACCTCCGAGCGATGCCGAGAGAGAGGGAGGTTCGCTTGGGGAGCCGAGTCATCACGGTCGCCCTGCCGCTGCGCCCGCCCCCGCCGCAGCCCGCGGCGCCGCCTGAAGTTGTCGAAGCTCATGCTCGGGACCTGGTGGACGGTGCGGCAGTGGGGGTTCACGACCAGGGTCGTCCGGCCAAACTCGTAGGGCGCGCAGTACACGAAGCCGTCGCCGCCGAGGGCGCAGCCGCGCCACTTCCACCTGCGGCTGGCGTCTCGTCGCCGCCGTCGGCGCCGCCTTCCTCGTCGTCCTGCGCCTCCTCGGCATCCCCTCTTCCTCTGGCTCCTCGGTTCCTCTTCCCCTGTTGCGACCCCGCCTCTCTTCTGATGAACAGATCCATCTCATCGGTAGGGCGGGCTGTGCGTTTCGACCGAGGTTTCCTCACTGCTCTTGAGTCTGAAGCTGCGAACTCTTTTTCCCTGCTAATAGCTACTACACGGCCGGTGTTTGAATGCTGCCTCGCCTTCGTGACGCGCATGCTCATCCCACATGCTTCCAACATGTACAATGGTGCAGAGCGGTCCGTTTTCAATATTTGGCTCTCGCCTTCGTGCCCAGCACATTCGCAGTGCAAATCTTGAACCAATGTAAGAGGAAGGAAGGTGGCTCCTTTTCAATATGTGAACATTACGCGCACATATAGAGGGCGGCCATGTTCAGACCGGATATCTTGCAGAAGACGTCCTCGGCAATAGAACGCAGAAAGTTCTGATAGGGGGCGTTTTTGGTTCAACCTGGGTTTCTGGCTGAATCGCTGTCGAAGTGTAAGGTCAGCATCACTGTGTAAGGATATACATACATACACATACAAGACTGCAGTGGCGCTTCGCGCCATGCACCTTGGTCCTTGGAGTTTGGTATGCAGGCGGAATCGCAGGAAGGCCAAACCGACAATTTAGCGATAACTCCTCGTTGCCTTTTCCGGCATCGCCGCTGTAATAATGTTGTTCGTTATCCTTCCTCCATGCTTCTTTTTCCTCATTTTCGCCATACCCTGCGCATTCCCCCGATCCTCCTCAGCTCTTATTTGCGGAGGCTCCTCCTTGGAGAGCCTCTGGGGGCCTCACACGAGTTGTTTCAGGTTTTCTTAAGGCCTTCTGAAGGCCTCCTGGGCGTTTTCTGGGGGCCTCTGGGGGCTTTCTCGGGCCACCCTGCCTCCAACCGCGGTCTCCCTGGACGACCGGGTCACAATTTGGAATGTTTCGGAGGGTGTCTTGGGGCCATCTTGGGCCGCCATGGGGCTCTCTGAGGGCCATCTTGGACCCGTATTGTGCCGTTTTGGGGCTCTCTTCGACTGCCTGGAAGCCCTTTCGGATGGTTGTGGGCGATTTTGGAGCATCCCAGGCGGCTTCGGACGCCCAGAAGACCGCCGTCTTGGAGCGTCGGGAAGCCGAAAAGAGGAGAACCCCAAAATTCACCAACAACCAACAGAAAATAAATAATATATGCCTCTTGGGGCCT